ATGTCATCAATATTTGAGGGCAAATCAGTAATTAAAAGTAAAAAATTTAACCATGTCATCATTTTTCGCCAGATGGATATTCCACGTAATTTAATAAAAAAAACAAAATGAGTTTTTCCGTTAATTAACGTGCCAGCTCAGCCAAAATTTAACGGAGGGACTAAAAAGGGGCCGGATTTGTGAACAGTAAGGACCAAAAAGGGAATTTTTTCGGTACAGGGACCAAAAAAGGGCTTTTTCCTATAGTAGATGGACCAAAAAGGGTATTTAACCTATTTTTGGTATCAGAGCCAAGGTTTTGCTAATATATTGATTTGCCATATGAGTTAGAGTCTAGTGTCATAGGATTAGATTTTGCCTAACTATTAGTTTTGCACTCTTTATTTGTATCAGTACCGGAGAAGAAATATGAGTCAAGGAGACAATACTTCTACTCCTCCTCCTGCTGATGACATGAATGCCCGAATGGACATAATGCAAAAGGCCATTACGAATATGAGTTCCATCTTTAGGGATTATCTTCAACATCAGAACAACAATAATGCCCCACAAAACACTGGTGGCAATTCATAGCAAACAGTGGACTCTAGAGAAGGAAATGAGCAGTTGACATTGGTGAAGCAACTTCAGAACATGAACCCGCCTAGCTTCAAGGGAGTTCCTGATCCCGATGTGGCTAAGTCTTGGGTTAAGAAATTAGAAAAGATGTTTAAGCTCCTGAAATGTACTGACGGGCAAAAAGTGGAGCTAGTAGTGTTCACATTAGAAGGTGAAGCTGATGATTGGTGGACAGCTGCTCAACAAGGGTTTTCTAAGAGAGGGGAGGAGGTTACATGGGACAAATTTGTTTAGGCCTTCTATCGAAAATATTTTTCTACAGCTGTGTTGGAAAGAAAGGAACTGGAGTTCATGAATTTAAAGCAAGATGACATGACAGTTGATGAGTATCAAGCTAAATTCAGTTCTCTTATGAAGTTTGCTCCTCACCTTGTTAATGATGAAGTTAGGAAGGCAAGGAAGTTTCAAAGATGGTTGAAAGCTTCCATTAGGAACAAGGTGGTTCCTCAAATGCTAAAGACTTATGATGAGGTCTTGGCCACGGCTCAAATAATTGAGCAAGATATGGAGGAGCAAAAAAAATGGAGACTCATAACTCAAAAGGCAAGGGAAAGGCTATCAACAACCAGCCTTTCAACAAGAAGCCTGAACAAAGGGGAAAAAGGAAGATCCCCGAAAGCAACAGACCAAGTTTTGATTTTTGTAAGAGGTGCGATAAGAACCATGAGGGAAAAGAATGTTATTGGCAGACTAGGGCATGTTTCAAGTGTGGGGAGACTGGCCACTTGATCAAGGATTGCCCGGTTCTCAAGGGAGCAAGTCCGCAGCCAAAGGATCAAGATAATAAGAAGCCTAGTGTTCAAGGAAGAGTTTTTGCCATCACAGAACAACAAGCTCAAAACACTCCTACAGTTATAAAAGATAAAATACCTATCTCTTTTGGGAATGCCCATGTGTTGATTGACTTTGGATCTACCCACTCATTTGTGTCACCTAAGTATGTGCCATTTTTGCATGTGGAGCCTAAGACCCTTGATTGTGTGCTTGTGGTGAATACTCCTTCTAAGGAGGTTTTAACATCAAAAACCATTTATAGATCTTGTAGAGTTATGGTAGAGGGTAGAGTTTTGCTTGCCGATCTGATTTTGTTAGGTATAGTGGAATTTGATGTCATACTTGGTATGGACTGGTTGTCTACCCATTATGCCATGGTTGATTGTTATGAGAAGGTGATTACTTTTTCTGCTCCTAACCAGCCTGTGATTCGATTTGAAGGAGAAAAAGTTGGATCATTTCCATTATTTGTTTCTTGCATGCAAGCTGATAAAATATTGCAGCATGAGTGTTATGGATATCTGGCATATGTTTTTGAATCTAAAGACAAGCCGGTGTCTGTAGAAGGAATTTGGGTAGTGGAAGACTTTCTTGATGTTTTCCCTAAGGAGTTGCCTGGGCTACCTCCAAATAGGGAGATTGAGTTCACTATAAACCTTGTGCCTGGTACTGCGCCAATATCCCAACAACCTTATAGAATGGCCCCAACAGAATTAATTGAATTGAAAAAGCAGTTGCAAGAGCTTCTTGATAAGGGGTTCATTAGACTCAGTACTTCTCCCTGGGGTGCTCCGGTTCTTTTTGTGAAAAAGAAAGATGGCTCACTTAGATTGTGCATTGACTATAGACGGTTGAATTAAGTCATCGTCAAGACTAAATATCCTTTACCAAGGATTGATGATTTGTTTGATCAGTTACAAGGGGCTCGTGTCTTTTCCAAAATTGATCTTAGATCTGATTATTATCAATTAAAGGTTAAACCCGAGGATGTGATGAAGACTGCTTTTAGGAGCAGATATGGGCACTACGAGTTCCTGGTAATGCCGTTTGGTTTAACTAATGCCCCTGCAGCTTTTATGGATCTTATGAATAGGATCTTTCAGCTGTACTTAGATAAGTTTGTCATTGTCTTCATTGATGACATTCTTATCTTTTCTCCTGATGAAGAGAGCCATAAGGAGCATCTGGCCATTGTATTGCAGATTTTGCGAGAAAAGAAGTTATATGCCAAGTTTGATAAGTGTGAGTTTTGGCTGAATCAGATTAGCTTTCTAGGTCATATTGTCTCGAAGGACGGCATATCAGTTGATCCTAGTAAAGTGGAAGCAGTTGTAAAGTGGAAGCAGTTGTAAAGTGGGAAAGGCCGACTAGTGTCACCGAAGTGCGGAGTTTTCTTGGACTAGCAGGATATTATAGAAGGTTTGTGGAGGGATATTCAAAGATTTCTGGTCCGTTAACACAACTTACTCGTAAGACTCAAAAGTTTGAATGGACAGATAAATGTGAGCAAAGCTTTCAAGAGTTGAAGAACAGATTGGTCATAGCACCAATTCTTGCTATTCCCGACAATGGAGGAAACTTTGTGGTATATACCGATGTTTCTCACAAAGGCTTGGGTTGTGTACTTATGCAACATGGACGGGTGATAGCTTATGGGTCTAGACAGCTCAAGACACATGAGAGGAATTACCCTACACATGATTTAGAACTTACTGCCATAATTTTGGCACTTAAGTTGTGGAGGCACTATTTGTATGGAGAAGAGTTTGAGGTGCACACTGATCACCAAAGCTTGAAATATTTATTTTCACAAAAAGAGCTTAATTTGAGACAAAGAAGATGGATGGAGTATCTGAATGACTATAGATGCAAAATTGTCTATCAACCTGGAAAGGGAAATGTGGTTGCAGATGCACTTAGTAGAAAATCAACTGGCACTTTAGCAAGCTTAATGGTGATGGAGTGGAAACTCCTAGAAGAATTCAAGAATTTGAATGTCAGGTTTTTGCCACCAAAGTCTGATGTACTAGTGTCTAGTATGATGGTTCAACCTACGCTGTTGTCAAAGATCAAGGAAGCACAACAGAAAGATTCAAGATTGATGGAGTGGATGAAGGACAGTGGAAAAAGCTCCAAAATGGGTCTTCATATTTCGGATGATGGAATCATAAGACTTGGAGATAGAATTTGTGTTCCATATGATGAGGGGTTAAGGACGGAATTGCTCCAAGAAGCACACAAGTCCAATTATACCATTCATCATGGGAGTACCAAAATGTATTATGACTTGAAAGAGACATTATGGTGGAAAAGCATGAAGAAGGATGTGGCTAAATATGTGTCCAAATGCTTGACTTGTCAAGTGGTAAAAGCAGAGCACCAGAAGCCAGGAGGGCAACTACAACCTTTGCCTATACCGGAGTGGAAGTGGGAAGCCATCTCAATGGACTTCATTGTGGGATTGCCGAAGACGAGAAGGCAATTTGATGCAATTTGGGTGATTGTGGACAGATTAACAAAGTCAGCTCACTTTTTGGCCATAAACCAAAAAGACCCATTAGACAAGTTGGCCAAGCTTTATGTTTAGGAGATTGTTAAACTCCATGGGGTCCCAGTGAGCATTGTATCAGACAAAGATCCAAGGTTTACTGCAAGATTTTGGAGATCTTTCCAGAAAGCCATGGGAACTTAATTGAAATTAAGCACAACATACCACCCACAAACTAATGGGTAGTTTGAGAGGACTAGTCAAGTGCTCGAAGACATGTTAAGAGCTTGTGCATTAGATTTGCCTGAGAGTTGGGATGATCATCTTCCATTGGCAGAGTTTGCTTATAATAATAGCTATCATTCCAGTATCAAAATGGCACCTTATGAGGCTCTTTATGGCAGGAGATGTAGAGCTCCAATTTGTTGGGCAGAAGTTGGTTATGGAAGGGTAATAGGGCCTGATTTTGTGCAGCAAACAACAGAAAAGGTGAAATTAATTCAGCAAAGGCTTAAAGTGGCTCAAGACAAACAAAAGAGTTATGCAGACAATAGAAGGAGACCTCTAGAATTTGAAGTTGGAAATCATGTATTTTTTAAGGTGTCACCAACTAAGGGAGTGTATCGGTTTGGTTTGAAAGGAAAACTCAGTCCGAGGTACATTGGCCCATTTGAGATTCTTAAAAGGGTAGGTGAAGTGGCTTATAAAATTGCATTGCCTCCAAAATTGTCAAATGTGCATAATGTATTTCATGTGTCGGTTTTGAGGAAGTATGAGCCGGATCCTTCACATGTCATAAACTATGAACCATTAGAGTTGAAGGAATATTTGAGTTACACCGAACAGCCAATACAGATTTTGGATAGGAAAGAAAAAGTTTTGAGGAACAAGACTGTGTCCTTAGTGAAAGTGTTGTGGCGGCATCATTCTGAGAACAAAGCTACATGGGAACTTGAAAATCAGATGAGGGGGCAGTATCCAAATCTATTTTGGTAAGCTAAATGATTTGGTGGGCCAAATCCTTTTAAGGTGGGGAGGATGTAACACCCCACCCCACATACCTTAGTGAATAATTTAAAAATTAGTGTCCTTTAGTTTATAGTTTTAGGGATTAAATTGATTGAATTTAAACTTTGGGGGTTTGAAGTAAAATTTAGTAGAAGTTGAATGACCATAACTCAATTATCCCAATTTTGCTTACCACATGGCATTTTCCCAACCAAGTTTTTTTTCTTTGTCGGTGGAAGCTTGGATAAGCCTCCAGAAGGCTCCCAAAAGCCCCATTTTGTTTTCCTACGCCTTCCTCTTCCACCTACATCCTTTTTTTCCTTCTTTCTCCAACCAAGGTTAAGGTGCTTTTTGTTAAGTAAGTATAAGTTTTAATTATGAATTTTGGGTTAGAGTTTTGCGTAGTTTAAATTGGTAAAATTTGACTTTAATCCTTTGGTTTATAAGATTTTTGGGTATTAAACTTTTATTAGAAATATCCTTAATTTTGGGGCTTATATGGGAAAGATAGTGAGTTAGTCCTTTTTATTGTTTGATTTGGGTGTGAATTTTTACTGCAGGAATTATAAGTAAATTGAATTGTTTACGAATTACTGTTCACGATTACTGTTCATGATTACTCTTCACGCATTATGCTTTGATCTCTTTCAATAGGAAGTCCTAATATTATTTTAGACATATTATGAATTTATTTGACATGCGTATGTGTTTGTGGCTATGGAGTAAGTGGACTTAAGCTTAAAGCTTGGGGTATTCAGTGGACCCTTCGGGGTATTTAGTGGACCTCTGCGCAGTAGGATTAGTACTGTGATTAGCTCCGGTACAGTGTTGCTAGCACACCTCAGTGAACTCCGTAGCATTGTGTGATTTTCAATTTTATGCATTGCGCTTGTGACATCGTATTTGTAAGCATATGATTTTAGTATATGAATTCAATTTAAATGTCATTGATTATTACTTGACATTTGTGCTTATAATTTGAGATATTAAGTCATTATTTAAATAGTGAGAATTATAATATTCTGTGATTTGATTCCGTTGTGTCTTATGCTCTTTGTGTGGATATGTTTAAGGGTCTTAGGACCCAAGTTTATAGCTTAAACTTATTACTTACTAGGTTGTTAGCTCATAAAATTCCCCCCCCCCATTTCAGATCAGTAGATCGAGGTAACAGCCTCTTGGTTTAGGAGCTTTTCGCACGGGACTCGCACGCTCGTTGTATGTACAAGATAGGGTCTCGTGTTTTCGATAGGGAGGCAGATCGATGTGTTACCAAAACAATGACTCAACTTTTGTTTTTTTTTTGGAAAGCTTTGGAGAAGAAATTTGCCTCATATAATTTTTGTGTAAATTACCTTTATGTATAAAATCTTTAAATTAATTATAAATGACCTTAGCTCAGTTTATCTTATAACTTTGAATATTTTGGTATTTTCCAATACATATATGATGTTCTTTTTATTAAATTGATTTTCTGAATACAGACTTTCTTTTGAAAAAATATTTTATATCATAAGTATTTTTACTTTCGCTGTAATTCTTTACTATAAATTTTGTTTCCGAACTCTCCTAGGACCAAGAGTGCCTAGGGAGATGTGTTATAATTTAGTTGCTTTAGAGGATAATAAATTCCAAACCGAATCTGACTTATCAACCAAGCTTTAGAGGATGATATAATTAAAATAATATAATTTTAGGACTTTTTTATTTAATTTAATAAATTGTCCTACCAGCCTTCCTGTATAAAACTTCTTTTCACATGTATTGCCGAATAATTTAACAAATTAGTCCGCAAGTCGTTTGCCCACTTACAGCTTAAAGTCAGTTTAGTTGCTTTAGAGGATAATAAATTCCAAACCGAATCTGACTTATCAACCAAGCTTTAGAGGATAATATAATTAAAATAATATAATTTTAGGACTTTTTTATTTAATTTAATAAATTGTCCTACCAGCCTTCCTGTATAAAACTTCTTTTCACATGTATTAACCGAATAATTTAACAAATTAGTCCGCAAGTCGTTTGCCCACTCACAGCTTAGAGTCAGTTTAGTTGCTTTAGAGGATAATAAATTCCAAACCACCGTGACTTATCAACCAAGCTTTAGAGTGAATAATAAATTTTAAACCGACCGTGACTTATCAACCAAGCCACATCATCATTCCAATACTCATTTTCCTACAATTTACTGACGAAATACCCAAGCAATTGAACTAACCAATCACAATTTCTT